GGCCCTTGTAAATCGTTGACTAATTCTTGGTTGACTTTCTTTTTTAATTGGAGAAAGTTTTCTTCAATTCTTTTCCTTTCTTCAGTCAAGGCGTTAAGTTGCTCTTCAATTAATTTTTTGGCCGTACTGTCTGTTGCGGTAAGTGGTTGAATTTCACTTTTCTCGACCTCCCGAATTTTCTCTAAGGCCTCAATTAATCGCCCTTCTCGCTTAGTTAATTCCTCGGTAGAGTATCCAGCTCCCTCAATATAGTCGTGCCAACCTGCTTCACTAAGGCTGGTAATTGTTCCCGCTCCGTGAACATCATTTACTTGGTCAACTAGTGCCTCATGAGTAATTGGTGAGGTAGACAAACGCAGAATCTCTATCTGATTTTTGGAATTTACATAAAGTTCTTTTTGTAATTTCTGAATAGGGACTAAATCTGGGTTGTTAACTAGATTGATTGTGGCCGTCAAAGTTTCTCCTAAATGATGGGGCGGAATACTAGTAGTCATTCCCACTGCAATACCAATACAACCATTTAACAATAAATTGGGAACAACCACTGGTAAAGTAACCGGTTCCTCTTTGCCTTTACTATCATCATAGTTGTTTTTTAAGTCAACCGTGTCATAAGCAAGTTCCTCTAACATCGAAAGACCATAAGGAGATAATTTTACTTTGGTATACTTGTAAGCGGCAGGGGGGTTATTGTCATAACCAAAATTGCCCCGACCATAAACCAAGGGATAACGGAACTTATCGGCTCGCACCATGTTAGCCATAGCATAATAAATACCTTGGTCACCATGTGGGTGTCAATCAGCCATGGTTTTACCGACTATGTTGGCCGAAGTAATCACATCTTTGTTCGGAGTAATTCCTAATTTCCAGAGCGCAAAAAGAATTCGGCGCTGGGAGGACTTAAATCCATCATTAATTTCGGGCAAGGCTCGACCTTTTTCCGATACAGCAATAGCGTAAATAGTGAAATAAACCAAAGCTAAATTAACTAAGTCAACTTTTTGTTCCTCGCTAATAGTCAGGGCTAATTCATGATAAGAACGCTCTTCTAAAAATTCTTTTCGTTTGCCGGTTTCTATTCCCATCAACTCCCGAATTACTCGCCTACTTTTGGGTCAGTCAGCAATGTTTATATTATATAAACGCCGCTGAGTAGGATCCATGGTGCTTTCGAATAACTCAGAAGCATCCATTTGTCCCAAACCTTTAATTCGTTCAATCTTGCGTTCCTCGCGGGGGTGCTCTTGAAGATAACTTTTTAATTCTTGGTCATTATAGAAATAATGTACTTGCTTTTTGGCTTGCACTCGATAAAGAGGCGGAACCGCTACAAATACCCTTCCTCCTTCAATTAAGTAGGGCAAATACTTAAAAATAAAAGTCAGCAATAAAACGACAATATGAGCTCCATCGTCATCAGGATCAGCCATTAAAACAATTCTTTTAAAGTTTGCTTTACTTAATAAATCTTTTAAAGTTTCGCGGACAACAATAGCCAACTGTTCCAAATTAAGAGGAGTATTGGCAGGAATTACTTCTTGCCTATCGGCTTCTTGATAAGTAAAATCCTCCAATAAACTTACCTCTTCATCTAATGTTTGCTTCTCTAATAAAGGATGAAAACGAATATAATCATTTTTTAAGAGTCCTTTTTGATCAGCAAAACCGAGAGCCAGCAGAGTATTACTTATTATCTTATTCTTAAGAACTCGACCGAACAGACCTTTTAAAGCGTTAGGAAGTTTGCCTTGGAGAGCAAAGACAGTCTGAGTTTTAGGGTCTCGGCCTTCCTCGGCACTACCACCGGCTGATTTACCTTCGACAAAAAATATTTCTTCGTTCGCTTCCGAACTAGACATCACTTTCAGCAAATCGGGAGTTTGTTTACCACTTTGGAAAATATCTTGTTCCTCTTTTAAATGCAAACGGAGCTTAGCATTATCAATAATTTTCTCCTTAATGATTTTGGCCGTAGTAGCGTTATCTTGAAAAAAACCGCTCACTAACTCTTGGGTAAGTCTCTTAGTTTTTTCTCTAACTTCGCGATTGGCTAACCTATCCTTAGTTTGGCCAGCAAATTCAGGGTCCTTGACACGTACCGAAACAATGGCTGTCAAACCAACCGAAACATCACTTGGCTCAAGTTCTAAATTAGGGTTATCTTTGATAATTAATTCTTTACAAACCTCAAAAAGTCCACTTTCAAAACCACTAACGTGGGAACCGCCTCCCGCAGTGCGAATATTATTACAGAAAGAACGAGCATTATTTTTGTCATAACTGTCGTTATATTGGAAAGCAAAACTCAATTGGAAATATTCAGATAACTTTTCTTCCACCACCACTCGGTGAAAAATTTCCCCTAAGGTGGTTCTGCCAGCATGAAGTTCTTCCACTCAACTCTTTAAACCACCCGTAAAATGATAGACAATTGGCTCAGCTGTCGGAGAAGTAGCAAAATAAAAGGTAAGGTTAGGATTTAAATAAGCTATTTCCTTTAAACGTCTTTGAATAGTTTCAACTTTAAAATAAGTAAACTCTTTGAAAATTTCTGGATCGGGAGTAAATTCAACCAACACACCATTGTTTCGTCCCAGGGTGTCAATTATTTGGGAAGAAATTAATTTTCCTCTTTCATAAATTATGGTTTCGGTTTTTTCCTCTCTACTACTCTCTACTCGCAAAGATTTAGAAAGGGCATTAACTACAGTCACTCCTACTCCATGAAGTCCTCCCGAAGTCTTATAAGCTTTGTTATCGAATTTTCCTCCGGAATGAAGAACCTCAAAAATAGTTCTTAAAACACTCATTTTAGTTTTAGGATGGATTTCAATTGGAATTCCTCGTCCATCATCCTTAATAGTAATGGTAGTTTGGTCTGCCGAAAGAGTAATCCAAATTTTTTGACAATGGCCAGCTACGGCTTCATCAACTGGGTTATCAATAGCTTCTCAAGCTAAATGGTGCCAGCCTTGCTCATCGGTAGAACCAATATACATTCCTGGTCTTTTACGAACCGCTTCAATGTTTTCTAGGACTTGAATACTTTCAGCTCCGTATTCTTCTTTTTTTATTTTTTTTTCAGACATAAATTAAGAAATAATATAGCAATAAGTTTTATTAAAAAAATAAATTATATAATAATTCTAATTGCTATAAAATTCTTCGTTAATTTTTAACGGATTTATGAAAAAAATACAACTCATTAATTTACCTTATTTATTAAGTAATATTATAAAAGTTGCACACATTATTATATTTTATATAAGAATTCACATTAGCCTTGTAATTTTTAGGATCAAGTTTTTTTAAAACAAGGCAAGGTATTACTATAAAACATCCATTTCTTGCAACTTTTTTCTAATTTTATCAGCCTGAGTATAATCACTTTTATTTCGTAAATCTTGCCATTTTTTAATCAGCAGTTTAACTTCTAAACTATAAGGTGGCAAATCAAACCTAAAACCTAATAGACTAAGAATAAAATAAAAATCATTAATTGTTTTTTGCAATTTTTCACTATCATTTTCTCGCTTGTCAATACTTTTGTTAAGAGAATTGATTATTTGCTCTAAAAAAAAGAGAGTTTTAATAGTATTAAGGTTATTCAACAAACTATTAATTATTTCTTCTTGTTGGGATTTTTGTTTGACGACTTTTATTTTCCCTATGTATAAGTAAAAGTTCAGTCTTTTCAGTAAATTTTTTATCTTTCGAACATAATCTATAGCCTGCTTAATTAATTCTTCACTAAAATTTATCACCTGATTATAATGACTGTTTAAAATCAAATAACGAAAAATGTTAACGCCATATATTTTGGCAAAATGTTTAGCAAAAATGACATTACCCAAAGATTTGGACATTTTTTCCTCTTTTCAATGAATGTGAGCAATATGTAATCAAACTTTACTTAGTTCCCGGTTGTTTTTAACTAAATATTGGATGCACTCATTTTCATGATGAGGAAATAATAAATCATTCCCGCCGCCGTGAATATCAATAGTTTGACTATGAAATAACTTGTCAATAAATACAGCACATTCAGTATGCCAGCCGGGACGACCAAATCCCCACGGTGAATTTCAGTTAATGCCAAATTCAGTTTTTTTTCAAAGCACAAAGTCAAGTTCGCTTTCCTTGCTAGTTTTGTTAATTTCGCGGGTGCCTGGTTTTAGTTTTTCTAGATTTTGCTTGGAAAGTTTTCCGTAATCCTTATTTACTCCAATCCGAAAAAGAACTTCATTATTTTGCTGATAAGCAATTTTTTTTTCAACGAGGGAAAAAATAAATTCTTGAATTTCAGAAATGTAATTGGTCACTCGGGGCAAAGCAGAAGGTAACAAAATATTATAGCGGATTAGATTAGCTAAATAAGCATTAGTATAATGATCGCTAACCTTTTTTTCGGTTTTTTTTTCCTTATTAGCCCTAACTATTATTTTGTCATCAATATCAGTAATATTTTGAACATAATTAACTTTAATGTTTAGATGCAATAATAAGCGGTGAAGAATGTCAAAAATAATGACTGGTCGTAAATTACCAATGTGAATATGGTCATAAACGGTTGGACCGCAAAGATAAATATTGATAGTTTGACCCGGCTCTAAATCCAAAAAGACATTTTCTTTCTCCTTGCTACTAAATAATTGAAGTTTCATTAAACTAGTTGATAAACTATTTTTTTTAAAAAGAAGAAAAACTGTTATTGTATCAACTTTCGAAGAAGAAAACCTTCACAGAAAAGGAAAATAATGGTTGTTTTTATTTTGCTGCTCGAATATTTAAATTTTAAATTTAAAGAAATATTACCTTTTTCAACTTCAATAAAGATCATTTTTTAGGTTCTTTAACTTTTCCTTACTAAAAAATTAAAACTCTCACTAGAATGCTTCTTTTTTTATGCTTCCAGCAACTTATTATTCATTAATTATTCTCTTCTTTATCTTTATCTCCACTAAATAAACTAACTAACTTATTTCAGAAAATAACTACTCCTACTAATCCGATGGCTAATGCTCCAGTTGCATACATTTTAGGATTATCTAAACGCAAGAAAGATAGCTTTTTAGTTTCCTTTTCGGGGTCTTCAGGTTTTTTAGTAGTGATTTCTTGTAAACTAGCATTGTAATTCTTAGTCATGTCGACCGTTAGTTCTCCAGTCTCAACCTTAACTAAATTCTCCGGAATATCATTATCCGGTAAATCAGTTTCCTTAGTTTTACCTAAAGCCTTGGCAATTCTTCGTTTCATCTGAGTTTTTTCTTTCTTTTTCTCGTCAGCATCAGTATCCGGCAAATGGTTATATCAGTAAGTTTCAATATACTTAATGATTTCTTCTGGTTTCTTAGCGACCATGGCTGTTAAAGTATTCAAACTAGTTTCTCCGCTGATAGTTGGAAGTTCGGTTAAGAAATCAGCTTTACCTTTGATTTTGTCAAACAAAGCTTTTACCTCATCCGCTTTTTTGAATTTATCACCTAAGTCAATTCATTTATCTCTTCAAGCATCGTTAATTAGAGCGGGGTCGTTTAAAGTAGGGTCAATGTCTTTAAGTTTAGTTCTTCAAACTTGATCCGTTTCGGGAGTATTTTTGTCTAATTCTTCTTGAATAGAAGTTTCTAATTTTTTTTCTTCGTCATCAAGTACTAAAATCAAGTCTTTTGCCTTAAAATGCTTTAAATATTCTTCAAGTTTATCCTTTAAATCAAGTCCTTCCAGTAAATCATCTTCTCCATTTTTAACCTTGTTAATAGCATAGTTAGCATCTAATTTATTATTATTTCAAGCTAAACTTCGGAAATATTTAACTAGATAATGTTCTTCTCCTCTCCTTCCTAAATTTTCTAATATTAACTGATCCAAAGTTCCAACAATAGGAAGAGGCTTGATTGCTCCAACTAATCCTTTAATGTAAAGAGGATTTTCTGCTTTTGTTTCGAGATCACATTCCTTGGTTGCATCACCATTATTTTCTAAGTATCTAATTTCTAAGATTAACTTTTGGAGTCTCAATAATTCTATTCAAGTAACTTCTGAATTTTTTTCTAATAATTCTTTTCTTACTTCGTCTAAACCTTTTTCTAAATGAAATTCTTTGAGTTTATCCTTTCTGGCTTTCAATAATTCTTTTAAAACTTCTGCCCTGGGGGAATCTTTCGTTTTTTTTGTAATTATTTTTTTAAATTTAAAATTCAACATAATATTTTATTTAATAATAAGTTTTACAAAAAAAAAAAAAACAATAATCAAATGTTATTTATCTCGGTAGTATTGGTAAATATTTTTAAATTCCTTTTTCATGTCTGAACTAAGATTTACTATACTACTTTTTATATTTCCTATAAAATTATCGTAAAATCTACTCTCAATTGGAATATTACATAATAAAAACCCTTTTTTGAAAGCATTTGAAATATTTATATCTTCATTACGCGAATTACTTTTATTCAAAAAAATATAACAGTCATATACATTGGAGAAAGTAACCATGTCACTTTTAAAAGCAAAGATAAAAGGCCTATCATTAGGATCACTCCTTTTACCACTATCATTTATTCATTCATCTCATCAACCTTTTTCCCTAACTAATTCAGCATTAGCAGTAGTTAATTGAGTTTGTAAGTTATTTGCTCGATTATCAGCATTGTTATAATTGGTTTGTAAAGTATTGATTTGAGTATTTTTTTGATTTATTTGAGAATTAAGTGAATTAATCCTAGTTTGAACTTGATTAGCATTTTCATTAGGGAACGTTAAAGTTCATGGGGATAATTGATTTCTTAAATCAGTAATTTCTCTATCTTTGGCTTGAATTTGTTCAGATTGTTTGGCTATTGTATTTTCTAGTGCTTTAATTCCATCCCTACTTAAATCAGTTTGGATTGCTTGATCTTTAAGGGTGATTTTATGAGGATTAACTAGAATGATTTCTCCTTCTTGCAGAGTGATCCCTTTATAAGTTTCTGTTCTAGTTAGAACTTGCGGATCTAAATAAAGAGGTTGAATAATGTCTTCTCCTTTCTTTAATCCTAATTTATCCATTAAGGAATGAGGAAGATCAAGTTGAATTTCTTTTTCCTGATAAGTGAAAAAATATCTTTCCGATAAGGGTTTATTTTTTCATTTAGGATTAGTTGAACCACCATAATTGCCTTCTTCAAGATTTATTTCTAAATAATTAACTGGGATTTGCTGTTTAATTTGAGCCAGTAAGTCTGAAAGAGTAAGGGCTGAATCTTCTTTGATTTTTAATTCTTCAAAGTAAAGCGGGAGATCATTTTTTGGCATGGTATTAATTATATATATTTATATATATTATTTTATAATAAAAACCAACCAAGGTTAAATAAAACTTACTGTTAAAGTAATAAAGTTTCTATTAAACTGCTTTTTGTTTTTGTAATTGAGTTCGTTTTTTTGTAAGAAATAAAAAATAAAAACTTGGATGAGGAAAAGATTTATTTACACTAATATTGCTAGGATTAGTAGTGAAAATCTTTAAAGACTAAGGTAGCACGCAAATTTTTTAATAAATAACCCTTTTCATTAAAGAATACTTTTTCTTCGGCTAATTTTTTTTTCTTATCCTCGATCTCTTTTCCAATCCCTCATTCACCCCAAAAACCGCCAATAAAATAATTAGAAGCAATAATCCGATGACAAGGAATTATTGGTGAACTAGGATTATTTTTAAGAGCTTGTCCAACCGCCCGGGGTGAAGAATTTAAAAATTCTGCAATAAATTTATAGGTAGACACATAACCTTTTGGTATTTGTAAACATAAATTATAAACCTTTTGCGGAAAATTGCTAACTACTTTTTTCGACATTCTTTCGACATTTATAAGCAACAAATACTGCTACCAATACTAACAAAACAATTATAAAGTATATAAAAAAAGGATAAAAATGTAAGTAAATATTGAGTAAACTTTTGTTGTACTAAAGCCTAATAATTAAGCGTTTAAGTTTGTTTCCACAAGGCTAAAACCTTGCGGGATTGATATTTTGCTTAAATAACGCCTAAATTTTTGCTTAATTAACCTAAATTTAGTTACAAATGGCGCCTAGTGCAGGAATCGAACCTACGACCAACCGGTTAACAGCCGGACGCTCTACCGCTGAGCTAACTAGGCTCATAACTTGTTAAACTAAAGAAAAAACTACCCGCAGATTATTGTCACCCATTCTATAATTTAATTTAGTAATCCGACTATATCCCCCTTTTCTATCTTTATACTTATCTTTTACCTCGGTAAATAACTTATCTACTATTCCTAAATGTTTCTTATTTACTAAGTAACGAAGTGCCATTCGGCGAGAATGCAAAGTGTCTTCTTTGGCTCAACCCACAAGTTTAGCGAACAATCTAGTTAAACACTTCGCCATGGATTGACTTGTCTCAACTTTGCCATACAAAAGGGCATCAGTTACTAAATTGTTAAGTGCATGCTTCCGCCACGCTATATCTTTACCTCGTTTATTAATATAAGACATAAAATTTACTATTCTTCGATTATTTTTTCTTTGCTCTCACTATTAAGTGAATCAATAATTTTGCCATACAAATTCTGCGACATTTGCAAAACCTCTAACAAGGCATTTTTCGGCTTAACCGCCCCATTAGTAGAAACTGTAAGTGTTAATTCCTCCTCTTCTTTGGTTAAACTAACTACTGCGGTGTTAACTTCAAAGTTTACCTGATCACCTTCATAACCACTCTTAACTGGAGAATAATCAGCATCTAAAGAAATCACATTTTCTTCCTCTTCAAAATGCTCCTTTCATCATTTATATTTTTTTTGATCTTTGGCCTGATGATAACCTCAATCTTTGCGAAAATACAATTTTATTTCCAAAACTCCTCCAGGAGCAACAGTAGCCAAGTAAAGTTCAGGATTTTTGATTTGCACTTCTTTACTTTTTAGAAAATCACCCGCCGTAACTATCCTTTCTTCTTTGGTTTTATTTTCGACCTTAATTTCCAAACAAATTATCTCTTCTTTTAACTTTTTTTCCTCTAAAATAATCTGTTTTAAATTCGAAATCAAGTAGACAGTTGTTTCCACCACTCCTTCTAAAGTAGTATATTTACTTGTCACCGAACCATTTTTATCGGAAATGATCACTCCCACCGGAGCTAGACCGCTAACGCAAGATATTAAAATTCTCCTTAAATAATTACCAATTGTTACCCCCATGGTAGTTGGTAAATGCCGAAAGACAAAAGATGCAGTATTGGGGTGATCTTTGACAGTTGTTTCTTCAATTTCTAAAGTTTTGAGTAATGACATATATATTTATTTATTATTTCCGAGGCCTTTTCCGGGGACGACAACCACCACCGAGAGGAATAGGAGTAGTATCAACTAAGGCTTCAAGATTTAAAGATTTTGCTTCCTGGATTGTTTTTATTACAGTATCTCGACCAGCACCAACTTTCTTAACATGTAATTCGACATTGTAAACTCCAAATTCAACTGCTCTCCTAATTATTTCTTTGGCAACTTTTTCGGCCATAAACGGAGTGCCTTTCTTGGTACCAGTAACTTTTTTGTTATTACCCAAGTCTACACTTCCGGCACTAACCGTAGTTAAAACATCACCATTTTCCTTACTTAAATCGAGGATAGTGTTATTAAAACTAAATGTGCCGTGAATTATTCCTCGACCTTCGGAAACTTTTTTGATTTTTTTAGTTTTCGCTATTCCTTTCTTATTAGAAGTTTTCTTATCGGTTATCATGTTATTTAGCTGTTGGAGCTTTCTTCTTGTTAGCTACGGTCTGCCGTCTTCTTCCGTGCAAACGAGCAGTTCGGCCATTGTGTCTAGTGCTTTGTTTAAGCGGTAAAGGACAAGGATCACGGGAAAGTCTCAGCCCACGATAAGTTCCAATTCGTGCTTGTTTGCTAATATCTTTCTTTATCTTTTCTTTCAACTGCCCTTCTACCAAAAACTTGCTAATTTCTTTGCTAATCAATTTAACTTCTTCTTCAACCAAATCACGAACTTTTTTTTGGCCCTGAATATTAATGTTATTAATTATTACTTGAGCTCGTGCTTTTCCAATCCCATAAATGCGAGTAAGAGCAACTGCGACATTTTTATTAACCGGTATTTCTGTGTTCCCAATCCGAACCATATATATTTAATATTTTTTATTATAATATTGATCTCGTCATTAAAAAAACTTTTGAATAAACCACCTAACCAATAAAAATTTTCCTTTATATTTACAAATTTTCCCTTGCTCTTTAAGCACAAATATCTTTCTTAACCTTGCCTTTGTTTGTGTTTAGGATTTTCTCGACAATAGACATAACGTCGCTTTTTTTTCTTTCGTATGATTACTTGGCAACCACGACACATTTTCTTAATAGAACTACGAACTTTCATAATATTTAGATTAATTTTTTATTTTTTTTTCGGCAAAAGAGACAATTTGGCCTTTCTCTAAATCTCCTAATGGCACTGCTATCATTACCCGATCGCCAATCACTAACTTTGCTCTTCTCCCGCCAGTTGGTGTTCGAAAACGTGCGGCAACGCCCGCCTTAACCATTTTACCATTATCACATTCAATATTAAAAGTATTGTTTCTCAATAGTTTAGTCACTGTACCTTGAGTTAGCAAAAAGTCTTTATTCTTCATAATTAGTTATTATTTCTGCTCCGTTTTTGGTAACATAAATCGTATGTTCAAAATGAGCATTTAAGTGACCGTTTTTTGAAATCACGGTTCAGTTATCAGAGGCCACCATTACTTGATCATCATTCTCCTGAACTAATGGTTCAATACAAATAAACATCCCTTCCTGGATAATTTGTCCCTTATTAGCAATTTTGTAATTAGGAACAAATGGTTCTTGATGCATGGACTCACCAATTCCATGGCCTCCATATTCTTTAATAGGAAAATAGCCCCTCACTCGAAGGTATTTTTCTAACATCGCCCCAATGTCTTGAGTAGTAGTAATATTAGGACGAATATTTTGAATAACGTAATATAAACTATTTTTAGCAACCTTCAATAAATTTTCAACTTTTTCACTTCCTTTACCAACCACAGTAGTTAAAGCAGCATCAGCGTGATAATTAATTCCTTGTTTATCTTTCTGATAGCAAGCCACATCAACTGACACTATGTCCCCTATTTGAAAAACTCTTCTATCAGGTATACCATGGGTTAACTCACTATTCAGAGAAACACAAATAGCCGCCGGAAAATCTCGATAGCCTAAAGTAGAGGAGATAAATCCTTTTTTTTTCATCAAATCGTGAGCAATTTTTTCCAAGTCCTTACCAGAAACTCCAGGTTGGATTGCTTTTTTTAACTCCTTTAAAATACTAGCCACCACCTGACCTGCTGCTTTCATGCTTTCAACTTTTCCCATTTTTTTTACCCTATACTCTATATTTTTAACTTTTTTCTATTTAGCAAAACTTAGTAAAAGAAGTGAAAACAAATAGTAAACATTTTCCGCAAAATGCTCACAATATTATATTCTCCTATTATATCACTGGACTACTAAATCAGTATCAATGCCTTTGTTAAATTCCTCATTGACCGGATAACGTAAATAAGTGATAATTAATTTTTGCTTGTCAAAAGTTAGGTAAGAAGGAATTTTGGCATTTTGTTCTAAACTGCCTTTAATAAGTTTATTTTCTGCCATGTTTTCCCTTCGTAAATTAATAACCTGATCTGGCTTCACTTGATAGGAAGGGGTTTTTACTTTTTGGCCATTTACCAAAAAATGTCCATGGCTCACTAACTGTCGAGCCAAACGACGAGTGTGAACTAGCCCGGAGCGAAATACCAAGTTATCTAAGCGCGACTCACAACTTATTAATAGATTATCTCCTATGCTGCCTTGCTTTTTTTTGATTTTGCTAAATAAGTTGTAAAGTTGTTTCTCTTTCAATCCATAAAGAAGCCGAACTTTTTGCTTCTCTATATTTTGTACAGCATAAGCCGAATGTCTTTTCCTTTTGCTCCCATGAATACCAGGGGGATTAACTCTTTTTTTCCCACGGCTAAATTCTTTTCCATTTTCTAGTAAGGAAAAATTTAAGGCGCGTGATTTTCTTCAAATTTTTCTTCAAAATTCAGGCATATAGTATTAATTTTAATATTATTTTATTTTCTTCTTATAAATGTAGGCAGTGAAATCGGAAGATTCCTCTTTTTTAACTAATTCGCTTTTATTTCAATCTGAAAAAGGGAAGTAAACATTGCCTTTATAATTTCCTTTTACTATCGAAACATAATAATAATCAGCATAAAGATAAGTTTGCTGGTAGATTTCGCGACCACCAATTATGAAAATATGCTTGTCGGGATTTCCTTTGTATGGTTCTAAAATTTCTTTTAAGTTATCAGTAAAAATTAAATTTTCTTCTTTTCATTCCTTATAATTTTCCTTATTTCGCGTAATAACTATATTAAAACGGTTTCTTAGCGATTTACCAATACTTTCAAAAGTTTTGCTTCCCATTAAAATTGCATTTCCCGAAGTAATTTGCGAAAAATATTTCATTTCAGCAGGAATTTTCCAAGGTAGTTTATTATCTTTGCCAATTAGACAATTTTGGTCCATGGCTCAAATTAGGTTTATCATTACTGCTAAGAATTTATTGCTTTGCTTTTCAAACTGGTCGGAGCAATTTCAAACACATTGTATCAACTAAGGCATCGGTGATGGAACACCGATACTCTGTACTACCTCAATACTTACAAAAATTTTTCAATATCTTTTTTAATTTTTTCTTCTTCCTCGCCAATATCTTTTCTAATCTTTTCTAGTCACCTTAATTTCTCTTCGGTGTTGCCAATTTCACCAATCAAACTAAATATCTCTTGCTTTAACTGTTCTACTTTAACTAATTTATCTATTTTGAAATCTAGTAAATGAAAATATTCTTCTTCCCGCCCAAACCTATTTGTTTTTTCCAAATCAACACTTATTTCCAAGATATCTCCAATTACTAATTTTTTATCTTCAATGAGATTTCATTTTTCAAGGCTTATATTTTCAGCAAAAACATAAACACCTATTTTGTCTCCCTCTCTTTTGTCTATTATCTTTGCTTCTAATTCATTAAGTTCATTCTCACCTAATTTTTCAAAAATCAACTTATAAAAAACTTGCCCAAATCTCTCGGTGCTTCGGTAAATTTTCTTTTTTTGCCTTCCTAAGTATTTAACTTTCATTATAAATATATTATTATATAATGCTTTTATTATAATTTACACTGCTACTTTGGCCTTAATCGGTGGATATGGCTCATAATTTTCTAAATTAATATCCTCAAAACAAAAATCAAAAATCGATTTTCTTTCCGGATTGAGTTTCAAAGTTGGTATTTTCCTTGGTTTCCTTTCTAATTGTAACTTAACTTGTTCTAAATGGTTTGAATAAATGTGAGCATCACCAATAACATGAATAAATTCTCCTAGTTTATATCCACAAACTTGGGCTAGCAGGGAAGTCAACAAACTATAACTAGCAATATTAAAAGGCACCCCCAGAAACATATCCCCGCTTCTTTGATATAATAAACAAGTTAATTCCTTGTTTTCCGAGACAAAAAACTGGGCTAATAAATGGCAAGGCGGAAGAAGCATTGACTTAATTTCGGGTGGGTTTCAAGCGGTTAAAATATGGCGGCGAGAAAAAGGATTATTTTTTAAGTTTTCGATTAGTTCTTTTAACTGGTTCACTCCGCCAAAATTACGTCATTGTTTACCATAGACAGGACCCAACTCACCATATTTTTGCGCAAAATTGTTATCAGTTTTGATTTTTTCGTCAAACTCCTTTAAATTTTCTCCCTGATACTTTGGCGAATTTTTATATTTCTCATAAGGTCATTCATTTCAAATCTTTACCCCATTATCGACTAAATATTTAATATTAGTATCCCCCTTAATAAATCAGAGTAGTTCGTGAACAATGGCTTTAAAATTTACTTTTTTAGTAGTCAGTAAAGGGAAACCTTCACGGAGATTAAAACGCATTTGACAGCCAAAAAGAGCCTTAGTTCCTACCTCAGTCCGATCAGCCCTTACTTCGCCATTTTTAACGATTAACTTTAATAAATCAAGATACCCCATTTCTCCTGAAAAAGAACAATTTCTTTTTAAAATTCTTTCAGACGCTAACATAAAGCAAAGTTTAGTGGCTTATCAAAATAACTAATTTCTTTTTGCTAATTTTCTCTATTTTTTGGCGGAAATCTTTTTGGTTATTCTCATCTAACGCGTTATCGGCTTCATCAAAAATGAATATTTCCTTATTTTTACTGTTATCAAAAAGACGATTTAAATCAACTAATTGTTTTTGTCCGGTTGACAAGCCATTCTCAATTAAATTTTCATGCTCGGCATAGGCTATTTTTTCGCGTCATTTGATTAGATTTATTTCACTTAATTTATAGTCATTATTAATCACTATTTCACCTTTGTGGGGCTGATATAAGCCCATAATTAAACTGATAATAGTGCTTTTGCCTCATCCATTTTCGCCCGCTAAGTGGTTAATTTTTCCTATTTGGAATTCGCAATCCAACTTTTTCAAAACTGGTTTCTTTTTCTCATAGGCAAACGAAACCTTTTTTAAAGTGATATTGGTAATAGGGTTAGAAATTAGGATATTTTTTTGAATGTCGTCTCTTTCAGGAAGGTTCAAGAAATTATTTAGTCTTTTTTTGGCGGAAAAATAATAAGGGTAATCACGTGCCCTCTCTATTGATTTTTTTCCTCCACCGAAAACTTTACCGAACATTTTCATGGCGGTTAAAGCCTCTTTTCCTTTTCCTAAAACAAGAGGTAAAAAAATGAAATCGGCATAAGTAATTAAGGAAAAAGAAGGAACTACCCAATAAAGGGTATAAGTTAAATCTCTTTTGTTTGTGAAACTAATAGTTTGATTAACTGAACTTTCATATTGTTTTTGAAAAGAAGTGACTAATCCTTTTTTGATTATCAAATCTCGGCTATTAATAATAGTGTCTTCTTTTTTAATTTCCGCTTCTGAAATTTGCCGAAGTTTGGAATCTTTCTTATATAAAAATCAAGCAGAAAGGAGAACCATAGTAAATATTGACAATAAATAAACAACTCCTCATCAAACTAAACTTCCGCCGGCTTTGCTAACAAAATAAAAACCTAAACCAGAACTTAAAATAACATAGTATATTTGATTGGGGAAAAATACTAAATTATAGCCAAATAGCCGCGCATCATGGTTAAAAAGAGCCAAAGCTTTTTTGCGGTCAAGAGTTCCCTCTAATCTAAAAAGTTTTTTCATTAAATCCTTTTTCACTTGCTGGGTGATTTTATTACCTAGTCAGTAAGAATAAAAAACGTGGGCAATCACTATTAAACAATAAAGAATAACCATTCCTGCCATAAACCATAAAAATAATTCAACACTAGAAAATTTTTCTACTACTACTTTATCAAAAACTTTAAAACTAGGAACCCATTTTTTTTCACTAACTCCGGCAATACTGTCTCATAAATTACTAATTCCATTAGCATCAATGACTGCCGCTAAAATACAACTAAATGTAGTTAAAATGTAAAAAAATATTTGTTCTTTTCAGTATTTTTTAGTAATGGTAAATCAGTTTAATTCGACGCTTTTTTTTCTCTTCATATTTTCGTGCTGCTAATTTGCTTTGATTATTCCACGGGAAGTTAATTTATATATCTCATCCGCATACTGCAAAGCTTCTCCATCATGGCTAACAAATATTATGGTTTTGTTTTTTAGTTCAGAAAAGATAATTTTTAAAATCTTTTTTTTTAACTCACTGCTAATATTACTCAAAAATTCATCAAAAAGGTAAACTTCGTAATCCTTAACTAAGGCTCTCATTAAACTAATTAATTGCTTTTGCCCCCCGGAGAGATTTTGACCTTTTTCTGCGACAACAAATTCTCAACGATTTGGTAATTTATCAACTAATTCTTTAATTCCTAATTTTTTAGCAACTTTTTCCAACTTTTCTTTATGAATATTTTCTTGATAGTTTTCCGGATAAACTACGTTATCACCTAAACCAGTGTTAAAAAAGTAAGGATGGCTAGGTAAGTAAACAATTCTTTGCCGCAAGGCAGAATTATCAATTTTTTCTAATTCTATATTGTTTAATTTAA